CACTTTGACATACAAGCGTTACATTAAGATAGTTGGTTACACACTATTGGATAATGAAAATACCACTGCAGAAACGTACAAGTACACTCGCTCATGGCAAAAGACAATTACGTCTTTTCCAAGCAAAATTTAACTTCTTCATTTATATAGGTAATCTGGACCTCACTCTCACTGGTCAAATATCTGGACAAATGGAGTTCAATGCATTCATTGCTCGTTTGGATAATGATGTTAATATGAAGGCATCAGCTATGCTTGAGACAGGACCCACTCTAACTGTTAAAGGAGAAGCTTCTGCTAAGATATTGGTGAGAATCAAATCTATAAGAAAATGTTCTAATTTCCTTGTCTTCTTTTCATGATAGGCAATATTTAAGATAGGTATGGAAGTCTCAGGCTCCATAACCTATCTCATAAACCCAGAAGCTTCAACCTCAGTCTGTGGCCCTTCACCTAATGGAGATGCTAATGCATGCTTTGAAGTATATGGTACAACTGAAGGAAATATTGCTGTTGAGGCATTTTGGCAGTCAAGGTGCACTTGGTATTTATATTGCACTGTAAGTATTCATATTACAGTCCGTAACTAAACTAATTTTTCTTTCTCTCCCATACATTTCATGTCACATCATGCATACATGTGTGCAGACTTGGGGGGAAAAGAATAAAGTCAGAGCACTATCACATACCTGGAGCCTAGCAAATTCAAGAAAGAAACTGTTTGGTCTGTGTCATGCTTGTGATTGCCATGGACGTCATTTTCTCAATGTCCTTTGCAAGGGTGGCCAATATGATGAAGCCTCACAATGTTCCTGTTCAACAAGAATATCAAAGTGATATTCCTCTTATCGTTGATAAAATTTCAGTGATGTGACCATTTTAACAGACCCTTCTTTTTTTTAAGTAGTTGCATTTAAGCATTTTATTAGTGTGTAGAAATTAAAAATTTAGATTTTATCATTAGTTGAGTTTTTTGAGTATAAGAGTGTATTAAATCATACCGAATTATATTGAGGTAACACTATTGAGGCATTTGGTGCAGCTTCAGGATGCAGTGAAGAGTGATAGAAGTTTTTGAAATTGCAAATACTCAGCATGCCCCCATAGATTGCATGGTATTTTTTTCCATTTTCAGTCCCGGCCCCGGTATCAATATTATTTAACGCGGGGCCGGATTGGTCAAGAAAATTATTGGGCGGAGCTTCAAAAATAAAAGATGGTTCTGACTAGTCTTTTTTCACGACTTGTCATGTAAGTTTTTTGTATCTTAGAGCAATGAGACTATCCTTCCTTTTCTTAGCGTCATAGTAGGTGTCTTGTACCCCGCGTATTGCTCTTTTAAAGCTGTCAAATACAAGGACCACCGAGAATATGTAAGATAACTTTTAAATATTTAAATTATTCTAATATTTATTCATTTATGTTTATTCACTTATAGACAACATGGATGATGTATTGGATAGTTTTTGCCATTTTTCTAACAGCAGAAACTTTTTCTGACGTTTTCTTATCCTGGTAAGTCAATTTATAACCATCTACTTAATCCACCCCTAGAAAACCTTGCCCATTTTAAAATGTGAATTCATGAAAAGATATAGACAGAGATTTTTGTAAAGATTTATGATTTTAGTTTATTGATTGTGTAGCTAGTAGGAAACGAATGGAATGAAACCACAAGTAGTAATTTTGACAATTATGTGTGTACCTAATCTATGATGATACCATAACATCAAGTTTATTTTTCATTCTCGTATAGGCTCCCATTTTACTATGAGATAAAGATTGTTATTGTAATTTGGCTGGCACTACCCTATACCCAAGTAAAGCACTCTCTACTCTTCTTCTTATCCTCCTTTAATATTTAAAATAATTTTATACCTAATAATTACCTACACAGTAGTGACAGTACACACTTTGCCATCTATAAAGATGGCTTGCCACTGAACTGCAGTTTTTCCTCTACTCTAAACCCTTAACTTAATTAAGCAAAAATTACAATCATGCTTTTTTAGTCATATAAATTAGTGTACCATTACCAGAATATGTAGTCAATTAAAATTCATTTTAATCGGACCCAACCCTGCATAACTATTGTACATCGACTACATTCATATTTGATTGATTCCTTGCTCTTGCTAACAGGGTGCGAAGACGCTATACAGGCGTCTCATTCACCATAAACTAGTAGACAGTGAAAATCAAATCGATGAATTTGTGAGTAATGCAGGTCAGGTTAGCTTTGGTTTGGTACGCAAGGCCTCCTCTGTTGTGGTGAATCATGCATCGGAAGGAATAATGACAGCTGCTATGAGGATCAGTAGACAAGAAGAGAGAAGAAATAGTAATAATCTGGTGAGTGACGAATTATCGCAAGGGTAGTAAATTTTAAGGGTATAAAATTTCGTGTTTTAGTGAAAAGCTCTTAATTCTTTAATTTTGAGGGGGTTAAATTTCGTGTTTTTGCATCTGCACTTGCATTAAGTCATTGATTTTCACATGCTGCACATGTGCAGTTTCCATGGTATTAATTTTTGTAGTTAAGAAGTCACCCATGAAATCTGTGAAATTAAGTTCCCTGCGGAATTTTATACCCGTACGGTAGTATTATGTAATTTGAGAGGGTATATGTGGCTAAGTTCTAAGCATAATCATGTACATGGTTCTTGGCCAAATTTTATTTTAAAAATTGCTATGAGAGATGTCTCCATTTTTATTACATTTTTTAATGCATATACTTGGTATTATGTTGTATAGAAAGTTTGAGTTGATTCTGATCAAAGTTAGATTTTTTATAAGTTTTTAAAGTTGCTCCGAAATTGGGCCAAAGTCCCTGTACTATAATACAGGGTTCTTGGCCAAATTTCATCAAAAATTGCTATGAGAGAATTTCCCAATTTTACTACATTTTTTAATGCATATACATGGTCTTATACTTTGTAGAAATTTGAAGATGATTCCGATCAAAATTGGATTTTTTATAAATTTTTAAAGTTGCTCCAAAATCGAGCTAAAGTCCCTGTACTCTAATACAGGGTTCTTGGCCAAATTTCATCAAAAATTGCTATGAGAGAATTTCTCATTTTTATTACATTTTATCATGCATATACATGGTCTTATACTTTCTAGAAAGTTTGAGTTGATTCCGATCAAAATTGGATTTTTAATAAATTTTTAAAGTTGCTCCAAAATCAGGCTAAAGTCCCTGTACTATAGTACAGGGTTTTTTGCCAAATTTCATCAAAAATCACTAAGAGAGAAATTTCCATTTTCATTACATTTTTTGATGCATATACATGGCCTTATACTTTGTAGAAAGTCTGAGTTGATTCCGATCAAAATTGGATTTTTTATAAATTTTTAAAGTTGCTCCAAAATCGAGCTAAAGTCTCTGTACTATAGTACAGGGTTCTTGGCCAAATTTCATCAAAAATCACTAAGAGAGAAATTTCCATTTTTATTACATTTTATTATGCATATACATGGCCTTATACTTTGTAGAAAGTTTGAGTTGATTCCGATCAAAATTGGATTTTTTATAAATTTTTAAAGTTGCTCCAAAATCAGGCTAAAGTCTCTGTACTATAGTACAGGGTTCTTGGCCAAATTTCATCAAAAATCACTAAGAGAGAAATTTCCATTTTTATTACATTTTTTGATGCATATACTTGGTCTTATGTTGTATAGAAAGTTTGAGTTGATTCTGAGCAAAGTTAGATTTTTTATAAATTTTTAAAGTTGCTCCGAAATTGGGCCAAAGTCCCTGTACTATAGTACAGGGTTCTTGGCCAAATTTCATCAAAAATTGCTATGAGAGAATTTCCCATTTTTATTACATTTTCTTATGCATATACATCGTCTTGTACTTTGTAGAAATTTTAAGATGATTCCGATCAAAATTGGATTTTTTATAAATTTTTAAAGTTGCTCCAAAATCGAGCTAAAGTTCCTGTACTATAGTACAGGGTTCTTGGCCAAATTTCATTAAAAATCGCGAGGAGGAAAATTCCCATTTTCATTACATTTTTGATATACATGGTCTGTAGAAATTTTATAAGGTGAGCCCAATCAAAATTAGATTTTAAATAAAATTGCTCAAAAATTAGGCCAAAAGACCCTGTAATAGTACAAGTTATTTAATCAAAAATGGCCTGGAGAAAATTAGCCACTTTTATTAATTTCTACATAATTCATAATAGGTGATTCTTAATTTTGTATAAATTTATGAAGTTACTTTAAAAATTTTTAAATTGTAATAATTATTTTTTATTCTAATAGGCCCCTCCCCCAGAGGAGCCAATGGTTGTACGTGAGACAATGCAACAGGAAATGAGTGAAGATTTCGTACAAGTCAACGTGCCTGACTCCTACTGTAAGTGATGAGTCTAAAAATAGCATTAAAAAACATTTCGTCTCTCCTTTTAGATGTTGACAGCTATAAAAAAGAATAGCAATAACAATTATTTACATGTATGACTTTATAACTGTTTGAATCTGTGTGGGGAAGTTGGTTTCAAGTATTAATAATAATTATTAATATCATCAAAATAGATTATAAAAATCTAGAAAGATTGATAGAAATAGAAACAGAGGAAGGAAAAAGAGTGAAGAGTGCATTTTCAAAAGAGAGAGAAAGAGAGAGAAAGAAAAAGAGAGAGAGAGAGAGCAACATCTTGTCCATAATAAATTATTAAATTATTATAATTTACGAAAAACATAATATTTAATAATAATAATATTACAATAATAATATCTCTCTAATAATAATAATAATCACCGCTTTGAGCAAGCCGGACAGAGTGCCTGTGAAGCGCATGTACTGTGATACAAATGGTGACACTTGTGACAGACAAGGAGCGGGCCCTGTCTACAGTTACAGTTCGAGCCTATTATTAATGTCAGTTTTGATTTCATGGTTGAAGGTGAGGTATTGCAGTACGAGTGTTCCTGGAGGATCTGCTGACTGGAGCAGTGAACCGTGTATGCTTTTAATGGGAGCTGTACAGGGAGCGGTGCTGTTGGTTTCGGTGGAGGGAGAGATGGTGCAGTCGTTGGTAGAGGGGCGGGGACAGGGGCGGGGTTTGGAGTTGGTGGAGAGAATATTGAATCATGGACAAGAGTTTGCTGAGGAGTAAGTGAGTTTGATGGATAGAACAAGGACTGGTCTTTATCTGAGGGCTTGCCTCTTTTCTTCATCTCTCCCCAGTATTCTTCGTAAAAGCGTTCTTTCCATGATGGCGTCAGATCAGACTGAGTCCGTGATCTTTTCCGGTGGAGGGTACCTAGTGCTAGTCTGTCCTGCCATTCTCTGAGGGCAGCACTTATGTATTCATTGTTTAGTACTGAATCTAAACCACTACAGGGAAAGAGGTGAGAGAGAGAGAGGAGGTAATGAAGGTACATGTACAATAAATGGCAAATTCTAACTGCTGTACATACAATTATTTTGTCTAAAAATCAAGGTGACACGCATCTGTGTCAATGCTTATGCTACATGTACATGAGCTGACAAACAAGTCTACATTTGTAATAGCATATAGAACAACTTTACAAATTCTTCTATACAACATAACATGTACATTATGTACACGATGGTTTATTTGCGAGGCATTAATATTGGCAATTAGCGGTTCTATGAAAAAAATGGCAATATACATGTAAAATCCGCCATTTGTTTAAATTAGAGCATGCTCAATGGCATGTGCCTTAAAATTGCTACTATAGAATTTGCTGATTAAGTGATGTCCACAGGCAAATTTGCCAAATATTACTCTTGCCAATAAATCATCTTGTACGATATGCTTCAGAAATTTATAAAAATGGAGAATTATCTTCAAGGTAAAAATTGGCTAAATACCCTGTACATGGTCTTTCACCCGATTTTAGATCAACTTTAAAAATTTATTATAAATCAAATTTGGATCAGAATTGGCTCAAAATTTCTACACAAAAGCTTAGCTGAACACTATGCCAAAATCCTTTGGAAAACCTGATGAATACAGTACATGTACATTGCTTTCAACAAAGCTCAAGCTAAAATTTCAGTGGCACACATTTTAATTTATAATATACTCACTTTGATGGATTTTCAGATAAATGGTGAATGTCAGAAGGAGGAAGATAACTTATTAACTTGGCTTGCGCTGATTTCGGTAATTGCTGAAATTTCTCTGATGATAATAAATGCTAAAATGAAGAAAAAAAACACTAATAATATTAAAAATATAAAAAATGAATTTCCAGCAAGACTTTTTGCAAATTGGGTCTCTATTTTGTGAAAATTGTTAAAATAATTATTTCTTTCAAAATTAAAAAAATTGGTGTACATTAATTGACTCTTACTTTTATATTACACACACTTAAAGGCGATGAAGGTGTGAAAAGAGGGAGGGGCTTAGGAGCTGGAGCGGGAACAGGTGCAGGAGGCGGGGCCCAGGAAGTTTGAAATGATTCATCATCATCATTATCATCGTCATCATCATCATCTTCCTCCTCTTCATCTTCCTCTGACGCTCCTCCTCCTCCAATAATAATAATAATAATAATAATAATAATAATAATAATAATAATAATAATAATAATAATAACAATAATAATAATGATGATCACTAATGAGTATGAAATTAATGAGCTTTGGATAAACCCATGTAATTTTTTTAAATACTAATTTTATCATTACGTTATTTTATGCATTAATTTTTTGATACAATTGGATTTGGTACTTCGGTTTCTTCTACTAAATACTTTCCTATAATTAATAATCACTAAAACTAGTGAACACAATCAAAATAGATTTAATGCACCATGTGGAAAGAGATTGGTGAAATTTATATTAACTATTGGGCATGTGCAAAAAAGAAAAACAAAATGTCACTTATCATCATTCCTCACCAAAAATTATCTTATGGTAAATTAATTAAGTACCATAATCTATCTAATTAAGTGTATGAAATTATTACTTTCTTACCATGTGAATTACAGTAGAGCGGTACTTGAACAAGCCGTGACTTAAGTAGGGTCTTTGGGTTTCGAGAGGTAGTCCCAGTAGAGAGGACAGGGGAAGGAGGCTGCCAGTCAGGTGTGATACTAACACCAACTGTATTATCTCTCCATCCCTGTATACTCAATACTGATGACGTGCCAAAGCCTTGATGAAAGAAAACCACCTCGGCCCATTCGGTAGCCATCTCAAAGGCAGACCCAAAGTCCACACCGCTTACATTCAAGTCTTCCTGTAAATGCTGTACCCGGGTCGCCATTTTCTTTCTCCTTGGCTGCCTTATCAGTGATGAGAGTAAGCTCCGTACTGGTGAACGGAGGATTGGTTGGGCTTTTCTTGTTACCAGAGGGTTGAGTCTTCCTTCTCTATAGCCGTGGTAGGGTTCTATCTCAACTGTGGCGTGTCGTCCCTGTCCTATTCGAGAACTAATACCAGGCATTCTTTTCGTCCCCTCAGAGACCCCGCCTACTTTTTATTTTTCAGCACACGCCCTTGTTATTAAAATTGAAATTTCAAATTATGCCGCCAAAATATGAAAGCATGATCATGCTTTTAGACTATGAATTTGCAGCCTATAATTTATGAATGCATGCAATCCACAAAATATGAATCCAATATGTGCAATATATCCAATGTGTCTCCAGGTCAAACAATTGTGTATTGCATACAACAGAAGCAAACTGCAGTGTGGGAAAATGAATGAGTCTAAAATTTGGCAGAGTAATTTTGAGATCAGTTGGAACTTTCTGCTTCACAGTATGTATTCATATATATAGTAGGGCAAGACTAAGTATAAAAATACATCTGACAAAAACAGTACACTTCAGATCTATAGTTATAATAGGTCTGACTAAGCTAATATTAAAGGGTAACCAACAGCAACTTAGTGTATTGGGCTGTATAGATGTAAATGTACAAAGTAGCTTGGATATTTCATTTTAAAATTTTTAGTTCTGACCACGCCCATTTGTTTAAATACTGCACTTACTGCAATCACTAATTGGCTTATTTTGGCATTTTGCCATTTTCAGCCACACCTTTGTATGAAACATGTCTTCTCCGACATCAGTTTTCGATGGCATGGAAGCAGCTCCTCCCGACGCTGTATTCAACGTACTGGCTAAATACAAGGAGGACACCTTCCCCAAAAAAGTCAACCTATCAGTTGGCGGTGAGCTGATCTCTTTATTTAAAACAACCCCTTCTTTTAATATGCAGCAGGAGTAGTTTTACAATATTATAAAGATATTGCTTCCTTGCCTTTATTCCTATTCTTTAATAGCTTACAGGGATGAAGAGGGCCAGCCCTGGGTACTTCCCGTTGTAAAGACAGTAGAGACACAGATGAGCTCTGATGTGATGCTCAATCACGAGTACCTCCCCATTGATGGACTCAAGTCATTCACTGAATCTGCAACAAGACTTGTACTGGGATCAGATGGACCAGCTGTAACGCAAAACAGAGTAAGACAATAATGCAGAGTATGTGTGTAAAAGTTATTGACTTAGTTATATAACTACAAATAATAGCCTAAAGCTATGAATAGCCCATTTATGGTAGCCGAGCCTTTATGATTATATTTACATGGCTGAGTAAATACATGTACATCAGACTGACGTGCTTTATTTAGGAATTAATTGCTATATTCCACTATTGCATGATTGCCTTTGATGTGTGCAGGGTTTCATGCACTTACAAATGTATTATCATTCTGATGTACAATGTACATGTACATTAGGTGTGACTCTCACTGAATTCATTATTCAATCCTGTTATGTCTCTCCCTTTGTTAGTATTGTTCTATTCAGTGTTTATCTGGTACTGGTAGCATCCGTGCAGCATTGGAGCT